CCTTGCCCTGGCATGTGGCTCTTTCAAGGGGACTTGGGGGGACACAGGGGGAGGAGAGGACTGGGCATGTTCCCACCCTGATGGATAAAGGAGGCCTGAAATATTTCTCTGTTTTGAAAACTCTGCTGGGGCTCTGCGGCCATACGGACACAACGGCACCCCCAACGTAAAAATCACAAACCTACTGTGGCATTTGCCACCCACCCGGCCCTCTAATCTGCCCTGCAGCAGCACCTAGGAGTGGCGCTCGCGGCCCTGTTGTGCACAGCGCTGTACAAACACAGATAGGCTCCTCCTTTGTGTTCTAAAACTTCCCCTCCCCTTTGCTCTAGTCAGATGGTAAGCTGTTTGGGGCAGGGACTTTCTCTGATTCTGTCTGGCCAGTGCCTGGCACAATGGCACCCCATTCTCAGGTGACCCCCAGGCAGCACCATAATAAACCTGATCCATATTGACAGCCCTAATCACACCCCCCTTTATTCTTCAGGGGCAGCTTCCCTCGGCTGTCTGCAGGTGAGTGAATTGAGCCTTGCAGCCCCCTAGGAAGTAGGTACCCTCCCTGGCTCTCAGATAGGGGGAAACAGGACAAAATGAGGGGATCTGGCTTGTCTGAAATCACAGCAAAGCTGGAGTTAAGCTGAGAACAGAGCCAGACTCCTCCTGGAGTTGGCTTAAGCACCGAAAAGCATCCTCTCTCCTCTTGCGCTGGAGAAACTCGGCTGAACAGCCCCAAGGTCTGACGATACTAAGGGGTGCAGAGCTCCAGAAACCCAAGCCCTTTAGAGTCACCAGGAGCCCGAAGCTGGCTCCCCACATTATCTAGGAGCCTGTCAGCTCCCTTGGCTGGAAGGGACCTCAAGAAGTCCTCAGATTCAGTCCTCTGAGCGGTGGCAGGACCGAGAACACCGAGACCATCCCTGGCAGGAGTTAGTACAACATTTAAATACTTGGAACCAGGGGAACGCCTAGACCCCGCCCCACTTTAGAAACCTAGTCCAGATGATTTTACCCCCTAAATGTTAACCCTAAATCTCCCCTGCCTGTTACTGCTTGCTCTACCTTCCACGATAAGGAGAACGGATTGATCCCTGGCCTCTTTATAACAGCCCGTAACATATCGGAGGACCCGAATCCCACCGTAAAGCAAACAGAGGTCGTGACCTCACCTAGGACACTGCAATGTGCATCATTGTAATTAACAAACCTAAACTCATGTCTCCCATGACCGGGGGCTGGGAGCTCTGCAGCATTTGCAGAGAGAGGGGCTAAGAGGCAATGGAAATAGATCAGGAAACATTCTTCCTGCAAACTCTGAGTTGTGAATTAATTGTTTATTAATGAATTGATCAATTCTCTGTTTTAATTCAGATCTCCATACAGTTAGTATCAATGTAATACACACTGGTAGCTAGCTGTCCCCAGCTGTTCATGTCAATGAGCACAACAGCAGGCAACACCCCCTCCCAAACACACTGTAACCCCAGTCTAAACGCAGCTTCCCAGGGAAACCAGCGCTCCTCCCCTCCTGACGCAGCTGCCTAGTTCTGAGCGCCCTCCGGCGCCTTTTGTCTGCTCTCGGCACCCGTAGCCGCCTGGGCCTGGTTTAAGTTCCCGGATGCGGAAGTGCTTGTCCCTTTTTACCAGCACGTCGGTGGCTGTCTGAGTGAGTGGCGGGGAGGACGCGCAGCTGGATCCGCC